ATAAATAAAATATATATAATTACTGAAATAATAAAAAAAAGTGTTGCATAATATTTACTAATAATATTTAATAAAGTCATAATTGATAAATAAAAAATAAAAAAAAGTCACTAGTTTTTAAGAAATTAAAAAAAAAAAATTTGAACATTCCCTCCAAACAAATTGATTGAATGCTAGATTTAATTTTGGAGGGAAATAAATTTTCAACTCTCCCTCAATCAAATATGATTCAAACAATTTGATTGAATTCACATTGAATTTTTAGGTTCTCTTTGAACAATTTTTTTCTTATAAATAGAAATAGACTTTCATAATTTTTTCAAAACTTCCAATGAGACTCCTTCTCATGAAAGGAGACTCTTGAAGTAAGAGTTTTTAGTTAAAATTTTGATTATATATATATATAATAAAATAAGAAAGAAAGAAAAAAAAGAAAAAAAACTAAGTCGGTCCGGAAACCGGCATTGGTTCACCGGTTTTCCCAGTTGAACTGGATTTTTACAAATAAGGCCAGTTTCCCCCTAGTCCGGTTTTAGATGGTTTTTCGGACCAGACAAAGGGCCAAGTTCCCGATTCGGTTCAACCAGTTCGACGGTCAATCCGGTCCGGGATTTGAAAACATTAGCCCCAGCACACCTCACTTGATACATCTCCTAATCTGTTGCACGTTGATATAGTAAATAAGAATAATGCAACAGGAAAAATCACTGACAAACAGAACACACACACACACAACACATACAAACAACAAAAAAGAGAACTCTCTCTTTTACTCAATTTTTAATTAATAATCAAAACACCACTCCAGATATAAATTCTTGTTAATCAAGAATATCTAAAAAGAAAACATTAATTTTACTAATACTTATAAACTAAGTAATTATAGAAACTAATAAAACAAGAAATACAAACTAAAAGGAACTAAATATGAAATAAATTATTTATGAAAATCTTGCATGCATCACAAGTTTTACTCCAACTCCTTCGAGAAGAGATGGTGTTCGAATACAATCATGTCATCTCATACGAGGTCACCCAAGCTTCAATTCCCTTCTCACATTTGGATCCATGAGAAAGTAACCAATTCCACAAGCTTGGATGTTGTTACACACCCATTTGGTTGTCCCAACCAAAATCAACTTCATAACAAAAAACCTTCCCCAACTACTAAAAAACGGAAAAAAAAAAAAAAAAGAAGTACTAGTAATCCAACATGTTTTAGGCTTGTTTTCAACAAATCTCTTTGTAATAGTGATCAACATGGAGTAAAATATCTATCACCATCTTGTGCATTGGCATAGTCCTCCATAGTCTGTTTAATGAATTCTTGAGTAGTGGACACCATTTCATGTAGCTCATTTTGCTCTCGTCTGCCATAAATCAATCAACATAATTAACCGTAAAATCAATCAACATATTACATAAAAACATTTAAGGCGTGTTTTGTAACTTCAGTTTTATGTCAAAAAGTCACTATAAGTTATTCCATCACTCTCTTCTAATTTTTTGCACTTATTTTTCGTAAAAAACAAAAAAATTACAAAAATAATCTATTCGCCAACGAGACCTAAATATCGCTATAGTTTGTTACTTATCTCAATTTAGTCCTAGCTTCTTAATTATGTCACCATTAATTACCTTGAATTTTTATATTGTATCAATCAATGAATATTGAGCTCATAATACTAAAAATCAAAGGGTCAATTTAGTCCCAAAAGTCATCAAAATACCTGGAGTAGAAGCATGAATTTTGAGGAACTAAATTGTTTTGAGAGTTATGATATAAGCTATTTTCTTTTTTTTTTAGTACTACATGGGCGTGGGCGTGTGGATCACACTTTAAAATCTTAGAGTTTAATTTTTTTATTGGATAAGATATTTCGTGTATGTAAATATGATAACCTGTAATGTGAATGTTGTGTGGCTTTTTTTTTTTTTTGATCACACAACACTTTTTGATGAAAGGAAACCTTATAAGAAGGAAGAAAGACATCAATACACTTACTACAAAAATAGTTAAAGATCTCACTTTTATTGGAAGTGTGATAAAAAAATTTAGATTGATATTTTAATCACACTTAAATTTGATTGAGTGTGATAATATTTATTTTTTATGTCACTTTTCAATTAGTGTGATTATATATATATATTTTTTTTTAATCACACTTGTAATTAAAGTGTGATTATATATACACTACTACTTTTTAATCACACTTTTTAAACAAGTGGTGATTATATATATATTTTTTAATCACACATTCTAATTAAAGTGTGATTATTTATATTATTTTTTAATCACACCTTCTAATTAAAGTGTGATTATATATACACTACTACTTTTTAATCACACTTTTAAATAGGTGTGATTATATCTATATTTTTTAACCACACATGCTAATTAAAGTGTGATTTTATTATATTTTTAATCACACATTCTAATTAAAGTGTGATTATATATACACTACTACTTTTTAATCACACTTTTAATAAGGTTGATATATATTTTTTTTTAATCACAACATTTTAATTAAAGTGTGATTATATATACATTACTACTTTTAATCGCATTCCCTAAATAGGTGTGATTTGTATAAAGTTTTTCAATTTGATTTATATAAAAATATACAATTCCAAATCGGCACCTCTATTCTACCCATGAATGATAAAGACGACTCACTACTAGAAAAGGAGGCTTTAGACACGGAACTTTTACACCCATTTTTATCTTCCTATCTCTCTGTCTCTGTCTCTCTTCTCTCTCTCTCTCTTAGACTCATCACTCTTCTCTGTCTGTCTGTCCTGTCCTCTTCTTTCTCTCTGTGTCTCTGCTCTCTTATTTTTCTCTCTCTCATCATCACTCTTTCTCTGTCTATTTGTCTGTCTGTCTCTCTTTCTTTCTGTGTCTCTCGTCCATCTCTTTTCTGTCTATCTCTCTTCATCTCTCTTCTCTCTCTGTCTATCTTTCTTAATCTCTCTCTCTTTATCTCTCTCGCTCATCTCTCTCTGCTCTCTCTCGTTTATCTCTTTTGCTTTTTTTCTCTCTCTCTCTCTCTTTGTCTATATCTTTTCGTCCATTTTTTCATCTTCCTCTCTCTCTCTTCTCTTTCTCTCTCTTACTCATCACTCTTTTTCTTTATATCTATCTGTCTTTCTCTCTCTGTGTATCTCACTCATCTATCTCTTCTCTCATCTCTTTTCTCTCCCTGTCTTTTCACCCATCTCTCTTCTTCTTATCTCTATCATCTCTCCTGTCTCTCTCTCTTCATCTCTCTTTTCTCTATCTCTCTCTCTGTCTTCTCGTTCATCTCTCTTCTCTCTCTGTCTCTCTCTCGTTCATCTCTCTTCTCTCTATGCATCTCTGTCTCTCTCGCTCATCTCTCTTCTCTCTATCTCTCTCTCGTTCATCTATCTTCTCTCTATGTCTATTCCCTCATCTGTCTTCTCTCTCTCTCCTATCTCTCTCGTTCATCTCTCTTCTCTCTCTGTCTCTTTTTCTGTCTCTCACTCTATTTCTCTTTATCTTTTTGTCTCTATCTTTCTCTCTCTTTCTCTCTCTCTCTCTCCCCGCCCCCCACTGTGTTCGTGTTGCTCACTCTCTCCCTTCCGTCTTCTCTATTTACTGAGCTCCCTCTCGATTTATTCTATCCACTACAAGAAATACACTTAGCGACCACTTTGTCTCTCTCTCGCTCATCATCACTCTGTCTTTGTATCTCTCTCTCTCTTTCTCTCCTCTATCTGCTCTCACTCATCTCTCTCTCTTTCACCACCAATCTCCTTCACCACCTTCACCACTACTGCAAAAACGCCATTTCCACTACCACCATTGTACTACTCACTACTACAAAAATAGT